CAGAATCTGTTCTCCACCCATGCGTCCTCATACTCGCACCAGTAAATGCATCTGCCGGGCCCCAGCCCAGGACTCTCAGCTCCTGCCCCAAGCCAGGGAGGGGACCCCAGACACTCAGCCATCTTGCAGGGACACCTCCTAGCTGGGGAGAAGCCAGCAACTTTCCATGCAGCACTCCTGCCGTGGGGGCTCTGTTCTCTACCTGGGGGGACCCAGGGCCTCTGTCCCTCACCTTTACCTGCAGTTGAACACAGTCGGGGCAGTCCACCCAGAAAAAGGCAGACCCGGCTGAAGAAACTGTGCCTCTGAAAGCCTGGAGGAGTTGCCCCAGTTTCCAACCTCTGTGAAGGTCCTGCCTCTCCATCTGAGAAGCCAGTTGTGGGCTGATGGCGGTGGCCTCATCCCTGCCCTTGAGACGCTCAGCCCTGCATGTGCCTGCGGCTCCACTGCAGCAGCTCAACAGCAGCCTGCACCATTCCTGCCACCACTGCTACTGCAGCCACCGCCCCTTCCCACTGGCTCAGCAGCACCGGACTTCCCATGGTCAACTGGCCTGGGATGGGAGCACGAACAGCAGTCTTCGCTTTACAATGGGGTCCTCCAGGCCCCAGACTCTGGCCAGCCGGGTCCTGGGCCCAAGAAGGAGCAGATCCGGAGCCTTCTGGCACTGCCCCCTGCCCTTTCCCATAGCGGTGCAGGCCTCTTCTTGGCAGGATTGCATCCGGGATTCCAGGGCAGAGGCAGCTGGTGGGCCAAGGACAGTGAGCAAGCTGGGTCCCTCCCAAAGCCACACACTGTGGTCCTCCAGCCACCCTCAGCAGACACTCTGCCCCCAGGCCCGGCCTCCCAAGGACCAGGGCCCTGCCCTCAGACGCTGATGGCGGGGAGCCACGCTGCAGCGCCAGAGGCCTTCAGCAAGTGGACATGCAGGGCAGGGCTGAGTGAGCGCAAGCCTCAGGTGCCGTCTTGCCCTTTCCGCTAAGGGGGCAGCAATTAAAACAACCGCCACCCTGCCCTCCCTCCCACCTCCCTGGCCCAGCAGGCCCCTCCGGGCCAGTGTCTTCCCCACCACGCCCAGCTCCAAAGATTACTCAGCTTCTCATTTTTAATTTAGGGCACTGGTGGGGGGGGGGTTCACGCGGTGTTTACTTTGATTGACTTGGGCTGCAGCAGCTAAAACGCCCATGGTGCGGTCAATCTAATCACGTTTAATAGCAGATTATTCTTCAACACAATGTTTTCCGTGAGGTCCACAGTCCCAGATAAGATCGCTGGGGCGCCCCCACCACGGACACTTTTACCAGGCCCGCATCCGCTTGGAAACCCTCACACAGTAAAATGCGCACCCTGCATTATACTGGCATCGCTGGCAACTCCTCCTCTAGAAGGGTGCCACGGTTTACTCGGCCACCCGGCCACGAAAACAAGAGGTACCCTGTCACGTGGCAGCTCCTGCCCCACCTGCAGACTGCCCTGGGCCTCCTGGCCAGCCCCACTCCTCTCTCAGGACTGGTCTTGCTCACATGTGGAAATTCCGTGTGGAGCATTAGCTGTATTTGTGAGGCACAGAATACAGCATTTCACTAGTTTGGCTCCCTGAACGGAGGAGCTCCTCGATTCTCAGTGCTACTATTCCCCCAGCAAGGCCCAGACCCAACATCCAAGTGCTGTGGAGCAAACATCTCCAGAGGCTCCAGGGGTGCATCCCTGACCCAGGGAGCTTGGAGCAAGGTTGTGAGGTTTCTCATCGAAGTTGCACACCCACCTCAGCCCCAGAGCTGGCAGGAGCATCCTAAAGGGGTAGCGCGTCCCCTGCAAGCCCTCAGCAGCCTCCTTCCAGGCTCCTTTCTCCTCTAGAGTCCCTGGTCCTCAGCATCATGTCTGGGTGGAGTCATCCTGGAAAATCCTGCAGGGAAGGCACAGCCCACTAGGCTGTCCCCCTCCTTCCTGTGCAAGGGCTCTGGGATAAAGTCCTGGGCACGCATATGCCCTGCTGGTGCGGGACCCACACTACAAAGACAGAGCCTCATACTCAGGACTTTCCAACCTTCAGGTCCTGAGTGACACTGAGGAAGCAGCCCGTGGTGACATAGTCAGGAAGAGGGGCTTAGGCATCCAGGGAGGAATATGAGAGATGCTCATTTTTAATTCAGCAGATCGAGACCAGAGGTGATTTACAACCAGTAGGCCATGGCTCATTCCCTGTGAACCCTCTAGTTTTACTGCTCAGTCAAACCTAATTCCAAAACACTAATGCTTTTATTTAAACACCACATCCTGCAATAAAGCTTTAATGCACGACAGACACATTTCGCGGAAGTCAGTGGTGTGTCTGTGGCCGCCCGCGGCCTCAGTGGCTGCATGCCGGGTTACTTGCCTCCCTGTGGCCGGAGCTGGAAGCGTGTAGGGCAGAGATGACCTTCCGGGGGTGCTGGGCACCGACTCCTCTGGGGCCACTGGCCAAAAGTGAGGCAGTGCCCAAGGACAGTGCTGCCTTCTCACTGCCATTCCCAGCCACAAATGACAGAGCAGAGGTCATGAGCAAACTCAGCCTCCAGAAGAAGACTTAGAGATTGGAAAGGGACCCTTGACTGCAGAGGCCCCCGGCCAGCCCCTCAATTACAGTCACCTCGAGACTCCCCCAGGCTGGGGGGCGCTGCCTGTGAGCTCCGGTCTGCCCCAGTCCCTTTGTCCAGGGAGTCCTTGGGGTGGCTACCCCCATACCCAACGCTCACAGCAGCTGACGGAGGGGCCCTGCCTGCCCCTCCCAATCACATTGCCACCAAGGTCAGGGGCAGGGCAGGCAGCAGCACCTGCCACATGCAGACACAGCCATGTGGGGCTGGAAAGCAGAGCTACACACAGGGAGAAGAGCCTCACTGTGGAGGACTAGTGTGTGGGGACGCTGGCCCCAGCCAGGCCACAGATGGCCTCCACTCTGAGACCCAGAAACAAACCACAGACACCTCCCATGGCTGCCCAGGCTTTCCCAAAGCCCTCTGCCCTTTGTCTGGCCCACCCAAGAAGGACCAGCCCCATGGAAAGGGCTCCCCAGACTGGATTCAAACTTGCCCTCACCTGCTGAGACCCAAAGGATGTCAGCCCAGCCCCTTCATCTGATGCAGAAGGATTCAAAGCAGGCAGGACTCAGTCCCCAGCAGGCTGGAGCAGGAGTCCTGGGCCCCGTATACAGCTTTCTGCAGAAACCTCACCAGCCTTCACAACAAAAGTATTTCTAGTTGGTCTTGATGAAAAAGCAAAGGCAAAGTAATGTTGGCTGGTTGCAGGAACAAAATGAGCCACGGGATTTGGCAAAATCAGATCACCCTGGGCCTCTAGAATGTCCTGCTATGCTCGGGGATAGACAGGCTCAGCTTCTTTGCTCCCTGTCTTAATCATCCTGGGTGGCCCAGGTCCCATGGCAGAGTGGGGTCTTGAGTATCGCTGTTCAGGGGCCCCTGCCCTTGCTCCTCTGCCTAGCCGTGCAGCCACAGGAGCCCAGACGGCAGGGCTTCTCCCATGTGGACAGGAGGCTCTTCCCTCCCCTGCATACCCCTCACCCTGCTCATGGCCCTTTGGGGAGTCCCTGTTCTTCCTGTGCCTCTGACAGTCTCCTGCCCCTGACCACACATGGCCCTCTGCCGGCAAATGATCTCTTTCATGGTAGCAGTCAGTGGCGCCCCTAGAGCTGCCGCCACCCTCTGTCTCCAAGCCCAGATCCACGTCCCCCAGCCCCCACCAGCACACACCGGACCCCACGCCTGCCCGAGGCCATCCCCCTCTGCCGCAGTCAGCACGCTGAATATTTAATGTCTGATGAGCGCTTCCACCTGCTGACACAGGCAAAGTGACAGAACAATGCCAGCAGGGACATGGATGTCCCGCCACCAGGCAGCCTCGTCCGGGCCTCGCCTGGGCCGCAGCCTGGCGATTGGTCCCCTGACCCCAGGCTGTGGGCATGGCTGCCCCTCCACGTGGCGACAGAGTTCCTGGCCTGAAATACATACTTCTTTACATTCCATAGCTTACAGGTCCACATGGGCATATAAAGAAGTATGTCTCCCAAGCAGGTCGCTCAGCAGCTCAGGGTCGGCCTGGGAGCAGCGGTGCAAGCCGCCCCACCTGGGAGAGAGAAGACACCTCAAGGCCTCACGCTCACAGCCACGACACACCCCGGAGCCCCGGCCCGATCGGGCGCCCTTTCTTCCTCCATCAGCTTGAATCCAGTCGTCCCTTCCAGCCCCGCATTCCTGCCTGTCTCTCTCACACAGGTGTCCACACACACGCACACGCACACGCAGCCAAGAGGGGCAGAAGCAGACAGCGCACACCAGGAAAGCTCAGGAATCCAATTCCTTCCTGAGCAGTTGTACACTTCAGCATCCGCAGAACAAGACAAGACTTCTGCCCTCGCCCTGGTGATGGAAATGTCACCCCTACCCAGATTTCATAGGCACTCCAAGTCCCCACCAGCACCCTCACTCTCCTTTAGGCCCCCCTTCTCCCCGCCAAGGGCAGAGGGGACCGGAGAAAAGACGGAGCCGGGGAGCAGCTCCAGCCTCCCACAGGCCAGCGAGGGACCTCCACCCCATCAAGCACCAGTGACCTTCTTCTCTCAGGAGCTGGGCAACTCTGCTCTCTGTGGACAGACGAGGAGCTCCCCAAGGGGGAGGTGGTCCAAGAGACCCCAGGAGTGAGCCAGGGAGCCTTACCTGGGCAGCTGACAGTTTGCAGAGCAGGTCCCTGGTGAATTCTGCCTTCCCAGATGAACATCCCCAGCAGGAAGGCTTGGTGTCTCTTTCTTTGAAGATGTCAGTGAGAAAGACAGTCATCTGTGGACTCCACATCCCCGGAAGTGGGCTTCTGAGAGGCGGCCACTCCTGGCCTCAGAGCAGACACCCAGCCAGTGAGAGAGCGGCTCTGCTGTGGCCTCCGCCTCCTTTGGCTCCCTCCTTCCTGCTCCCTTCTGCACCCTCTGTCCCCGCCTCAGCTCCTCTGGGGCCGGCTGCCTGTGCAGCAGGGGTCCCCGAAACGGTGGCCAGCAGGCAGCCCACACTGGCACCCAGGAGTCAGCCTGCAGCCGTGGCAGCCCTGTGGGGCCTGACCCTCACCAGGCTTTTGTGGCCGCCCAGCTCCACCAGCCCCCACCAACACCGTTTGCAGGGATTACAGTACCAGTCACAGCCACAGGCAGGGCGGCCTTCCTGCTTCTGAAGTTCTCCAGGGCACACCAGCTTCTAATGTGCCCATTAAAGAGGGTTAAGTAAACTTAGCAAGTACAAGCTAAGCACTTTGGAATCCATAATCATATCAATATTTTTCCTATTGAATTTTGAAATCTCTCTGGGAATTCTGAAATCTCTCTTTCCCTGTTAACTTCCACAGCCAGCGGGGAGCTGGGAATCTGAAAAGTATGAAGAGGCCAATGGGGCCTTACGGTTAGGGAGTCCACCCTCAGTCTGGGAGGAAAAAGAAGAGGAGGAGGAGGAGGAGGAGGAGACCCAAGGGACTTGGAGGCCTCAACGCAGCCCACAGTGAGGCCAGCAGGTGAGTGACTGGAACGTGGGAGGAGGGTGTCACTTCAGGTGCCCAAGGAGGAAGAGCAGGGACTGGGCTGCAGGGGCAGTGGGGCCAGCACCAACACAGAGGATTTGCGTGGGAGGGTCCAGCTGGCCTTACGGCCATGCTGTGGGTCTGGACAGTTCCCCAGGACCTGACAGGATGACCCGTTCTCCCTCATCAGCAAGATGACGTCCAGCTTGACCTGGCTGTCCGTCCCTGTGAGAACAGCCCGGAGGGTGTCCGGACCGTCCATCACCGAGCAGGGCCACATCTGCAGCCTGCAGTGTGCAGAGGGCTCTAAGCACATTGCTCATGTCCCTGGGCTGTGGCAACTGCGGGCAAGTAAGGCTAGGCTAGCGCCCCGCATGGGGAGGGGGTGAGGGTGCTGAGAGGGACCCCGTGCAGGAAAGAGCCTCCTGGCAGAAGACGGGATGGGGTGCCCCTTTCAACGTGGCTGCTTTTGTTTCTCATTTCCAGTAGTCAAGGATAGAAAAGGGCAACAGAGACAGCAGCCCCAGTTCCTGTCCTCTTGGGGTGCCCTGGCATCCCTAAACTGGGAATGGGTCTCTCAAGTCAGGGGCAGGCAGCCCCATCTCCCTGCCCTCCCCCCAGGTTCAAGACCCAGACTCCCCTAAACTCCCAGACATTCATAGGATGGCAGCTGGGGGTCAAGCAGAAACTGGGGGACCCAAAGAGCAGGAAAGTCAGCCCAGACCTGGCCCGAGTCCACAGGAGCTGCTGCCCACTTGCAAATGAATCACAGTCACTTCCCCAAAGTTTTCCACCCGGACCGAAAAGCAGCCCCAGCCACCTCCTAGCAGACCTCTCTGGGCGGGCTGCGCTGGGAGAGCGCCCGCCCCGCCCCCTCCACGCCGCGGCGCAGCCATGCGGAAGCCAGGCTTCCTTGCAGGGCCGCTCACAAGCCCAGACCTCGCTTCTCCCTGAAGCCCCCATGTCCACCCGCGAATGCACCAGACATGGGAACACTGGACTGGCGCCTTCCCGGAAATCCCCAGCCCTAGTCAGGAGCAGCCCGCGGGTCAGGCTCGGGGATCCCCTGCCCCCACTGGCCCTCCACGGTCAGGGCTGCGAGTTCCAAGGTAAGTTCAGCCCCAAGCCGGCTGCTGGGGCTCTGCAGCGGTTAGACGGGTTAAGTGAGCCCTGGCCCTCACTGCATCCAGCCCCGGATCTGCGACCCCCATTCACTCGGTTGGTTTCTCGCGGAGAGCCCGCGTGCCAAAGTTCCTGCAGCCGGGGCAGACGCGCCCTCCCGGGCCCTCCGCGCCGGCTCTGCAGTTCCCCGAAGGTGGCCGATGCCGCGCGCCGAGAA